CCACCCCTTCCCTATCGGCCCGGTCTCCGCAATTTGCATTCTTACTGATCTCTGTGTTTCCGCAGGATATTCTCCACAGCGCATCCTGCGAACGCCTACTGGCAACCTCTGCATCAATCCTGGATGAAAAAACGTCTGTAGGCCTTGCTAGAATTCATACGAACAGAGTCCAAGCTGTGGAACCTATGAAGAACAAGCTAAGATATGCTTATCGGAGTACAGCAGAACCCATGGCCCAGTCAACGCTTTATGAGAGGAAGACAAACATGAAGAATGATGCTTGTCAGATTTGTTTGTGTGACCACTGCTGTTATGAGCAGCCAGCTACTTGTTGACCAGGTAGCTTTGAGAAATAGACCCAACAACTTCAACATAAGAGAACTGTTGCCAGCACTCTTGTTCACGATGCAACCTGAGACGTAGACTGGTCACTATTAGGGAACCGGGATTCGCACGCTTGAAGCCTTGTATGCGGCACCTGGTCCTGTGCTGTCAGCAGAAGCCTCCCATTTCATTCTCCTGTGTTCTGTCCTGGTGTTGTGTCATCGCACGAGAACCTTGCATCTGTTGTGTTTTCTATCTCCGAGTTTGCGACGTCCGTGAAATCGAACAGCCCCGCTGAGGGGCGGAAAAAGCTGGGCCCCGAAATCCTAATCTGCGCAGTATCGACAGGTCATGGATGCCACCTGTGGGGCATCTACCCTGTGGGCAACCCGTGGATGCTTTCCAGGACGTATGCCATCGGTTTGACGAAGGCCTCAGAGCCTTCGGCTGGCCTTTGGCTAGCTGGGAATCAAGGAATGGAAAAGAAAATGGGAACTACCATAATGGGTTGTGTGGGGCCCTAAACCCTAAACCATACGGATCCATTCATTCCTAGCTAACGAAAGGCCAGTAGGGTCTGAAGGTTGGACCATGAGAGGTTGGCGAACAGCTCCAGCCGCCAATGTCGCACATATTTGAGCATGGGGGGGCTCAAAGCGCCTACATGGGAACCCTTGACGTCCCACATATATATGGCAGTTTCTCATCATGATGGTCCTCGTTTGGTGTACCCTAAAATAGGGCGGGGTATTACAACAGGGACCCAAAAAGGGACTATGATTTAACACCCCCCTATCCCCTAAAGATGCATGGAGCTTTGACGGTTTTGACATGAAAGGTCCTCCAGGGTTTCCTGTGATGGGCCAGGGTCCCCAGTTCATTACAGTTGCTTGGCTAAGGCTTTTGGTTTACGTTTTTAGGGAAGGGCAGGGGACTAAGTTTGGACTGCAGGTAGCACGAAATCGAGTTTGTCCTTGTGGCCACTGGATAATGTGAACCACCTTTGCTTGTTTGTCGGGCTTCAGGTTCTGAGTCGGCCTCTACCTGACTCCTCCTTGGGAGCTACAGGGGCATTCATAAGGGGTGAAAGGGACCGATAACATATACTATACTCACTACAGCTTTGAGTCCAGAGCTGACATGGTCAAACCTGTCCCAGGCAGCGACGTCAGTAAGTAGGTTAATTTAAAGGACCGGAGAACCCCACATGTGTAGTTTAACCTGAATCTGAAAGAACTAATATTAGGATGCCGTCTCCGGCCAAAATAAAGAAGAACAAGAAGACGAGACGAAAACCAGCGAAATGATTCGCTGAAAAATCTCATAGGGTGCACCTTTTGGGACTTGATATTTGGGGACTTGATTCGCTGAAAAAGGTTAGGGGGACAGCCCTTGCGATTTGAGATCTTGAGACTTGATCCTCTGAAAAAACTTAGCGAACACACCCCTTGCGAGTTGAGATTAGGAACAATGATTCTCTAGAAAATCTTAGGGGGACTCTGCTTGCGATTTGACCTGTTTTGGGTTTTGGCTGTCATCAAGGAGGTCTTTCAAAACAATCAGATAGGGCGAAATTGGAAAATCGTTATGCAAATTTACTTGACGATTTATAGGGCTTATGACACCCTATAGATATACCTTTATGATTACCCCTGATTAGCCTTTACCGAATTTTGAGGATACTCCGCACGGGAGCGCAATTTTTGATGAAAAGACGACGAAATTTTAAGGATGTTCCGCACAGGAACGCAATTTCATTCAAAAAGTCAAGATGCTTCGCACGGGAGCGCGATTTTTTGATGAAGACACGAAATTTTGGGGATGATCCGCATGGGAGTGCAATTTGCATCAAAAATTTCAGGATGCTCCGCACAGGAGCGCGATTTTGAGCGAAACATCGGCATAATTCTGAGGATGCTCCGCACGGGAGCGCAATTTTCTTCAGAATTTTCAAGATGCCCCGCGCGGGAGCGCGATTTTGAACGAAGAAATCGACGGAAGTTTGAGGATGCTCCGCACGGGGGCGCAATTTTTAACTCGGGGATGAATCTCCTGGTGAATTCCAGAAGCTCAGAAAACGGCGATTTCTGTTTCATCAGAATTTTCAGGATGCTCCGCGGGGGAGCGCAATTTTCAATATTTGGACCAACAAGACGAGCTTGAGCAGAGCACTTTGGTATAGAATTGGTATAGGATCCATCCAGTCAGCACTCAGACTTGGAACGACGAAATCGACGAATCCTATACCAAAGCTATATACCGGAGACCTCCGCTGATACCACCCTTGGGAACCAAGAAAACCGCCTTGAACGAAGTACACCGGGACCCGTTTGGTATAGAATTGGTACATATGAAACCATCGACATCATCGTTTATAAATGATCCAAATTTTCCGAATGCTCCGCACGGGCGCATCACTTCGATCGAATTTGATGATGATAAATCGACGAAATTTCGAGGATGCTCCGCACGGGAGTTTTGAAGATATCAAGACCATCACGACGCAAGAAACGCGACTGTCTCGAACAGGAGCGCTTTTTTGGAGTAATTTATGAGCAAGCAAACCCCGGAATTTTGAGGATGTCCCGCACGGGAGCGCAATTTTCTCCAACAGGGGGGCGACCAGTTCAGTACGGGACCCCTCTACCAAGACTACTTTAAAGGCAAAGTCGCGGATTTCTTGGATCGACAATCAACACCGAAATCCGAGTTTTTGAGCATGCTCCCAGCGAGAGCGCTTTTTTTGCAGAAGCAGGGGGCGCGTCCAAAATGTTTGCGCGACGGAACAGCACGCGTGCACGGCGGGCGACGCTACATCTAAAAACTAGAACCCCGCAGAAATGCGGGGAATAGCTCTTCAAACCAGATAGCAACCCTAGCTGCCCTAGCTATCCCCATTGATAATCCACTTTACTCACTTACTAAGTCTTACTAAGTCCCCCTGACCCTCCCAGTAGGTGGCAAGTTGTCCTGTCTCAATCTGTCGTGTCCAGCCTGGCTGCCTGGGCATGACTGCGCAACAAAATGGCGGCAGTACTCTTAGTACCTGAGCAACCTATAGTCCCCCTTAAGTAGATAGAATATGGCTTTGGGTATATCATAATTATCATAAGGTCCCCATGTTACTATACCCCATGTTCTATCTGCTTGAGAGTGCACACGCCCAGATGGAAAACAGGGGGGATTATAAGCGACCATATTGTTGCATATTTCTGCATTCCTTGAAGAAGCGTTGACTAAGCAAACAGCCGTGTGTTCTAGACCACAGCTTCGCAGGCCTGAACGCAACACAATCGGACCCCAATCGAACATCCCAATGACACAGGCCACTACGCAGCTGACCGGCTACTACAACCCTGGCACCGAGCTGCGGTTGACTGTGCCTGTTATGGAGGACCCTCGGCTGCACGGCTTGCACTGTGGCTGAGGTTCCCAGGACACCTCCCAAGTTGTCCAAAGGGAAGTAGAATATCATTGTACAAGTAGAGCGCATGGTTATACAAGCGCAGCAGGGCATTGTCTAAACAAAGTGCAGCGGCGCACCGGCGTGTAGGCAGCCAAGGTTGCCATTCTGCTCAAAGAGGAATCATGATCGGTTCGCAGTGCCTGGCTAGAGTAAGTGATTCCGCGGGCCAGGGTCGTGCCACGCGTAGTTTAGCATTCCTGGAAGGCAGCAAGACGCATTGCTACCATCTTTGTAGGTTTAGGGTTTAGGGTTTAGGGTCGCGACATCATGGAGACGACGAAGCACGGAGTGACTCTCGACCAACCCCGCAGATGTTTCACCCAGCAAAAGAGGCAATAAAGACATGCCTCCGGAACATGAGCTCCAATCCAAGGTTGTTTATGTAGACGGTTGACCCAACGTGGCGTTATTTGAGGTAAGTGAAATATCCTATTTTGGCCAGAAGAGATCAAAGACATGGAACCCCGTATACGCTCCCACGCTCAAAGTACGTCACAGTGGGTGCCCTCGGGTTCCATGTTGTGGAACCTAGCCTCATTGTGTTGGCCAGTTGTCGGACCTCTTTAAGGTCCAGACACTCAGTGATCAGATGATTGGTAGACGCAGGCAACTGTTCGAGGAATCCTGTGGCACGGTTGCTCTTACTTCTGAGGACTACCAGCGCATTCTCTGGTTCCTCAAGCACGGCAAGGAGTGCATGCGCAGTGATTACATCGCGGTGAAGACGGTGCCCTGGCATGAGGAGGATGACCCTCCTCCAGGCTAACATGGAACACCATGTGGCGTACATAAAGATAGCAGTGTGTGTAGGTCTCCCTTCTGACGTTCCAGGTTACTTTGGAGGGCAGAAAATTCATCAAGACGACGTAACGAAACTGGGGGGTATAATCTTCCAGATCCTTCACTCATTACTTATACTTAGGCAAGCCTGCGCTGCAAGGGATATGGCGGGTCAGGCAACCCTAGACCTAAACCCTCGTGCGCTTGAGGTCCCAGGGGCGCTTTGGGGTTGCTTAGTCTGGTGAGCAAGGACTGATGGAATGATTCCGTATAGCTCCCCGATGATCATAGTTTCCATTCTCTTTTCCATTCCTTCATTCCATGCTAAGCAGAGGCGGGAGGGTTGAGGGTTTGCAGAGCAGCAGGGCGGCCAAGCACTCAGGAACTCTCCTGTTTGTACGAGTCTCAAAAGCATATTCCTCTTCGGTCATACTTTGTTTGGGTTTAGGCATCTAGTGAAAAGGCCTAAGCCCCCAAATATTGCGCCCTAAACCAGACACGTTAAACAAGCTTCTGGAAGGTCGAAGCTTACCCCCTAGAAAGCCCCGAGGACAGGGACGGGGGCTTCAGTCGTCATGTTGGCCCCAGATCTCGCACCCAAAGCCCAATTTTCCAACCACTTCGCCATCCCATGCTCAGAACTGAGTGCTGATGTTGGAATGCTGAGCCACTAGCACCCCCGACCTCCACAAACAGCTAAATCTGATGAAAAAGCAAGAAGCTGAAGCTCCAACCTCCAGACAGCAAGGCCAACAAGGGCAAAGGGGGCTGTTCTTCAGCCTTCACTGAGCCCAAGGCCGCTACAGCTGTAGAAATGGTGCCCTAAGCTCAGAGTTTCGTGGGGTGCGGTGCACTCACCGGGTATCGATTAGGCGCTGCATTTGTGATGTAATGGATGTTCCAGCCTCAAGCTGGTTACATCTGCCAGATTCTGCCAACCCTAAACCCTAAACCTAAACCCTATAGCTAGACATGAAAAGAGTCGACAGGGCTGTGAAAAACCCAGGCACACTACGGCCGGTGTGTAAGTTCCTGAAGTCTTCCCATCCTGTAGGGCTTTCATTATTGTTCCTTCACGTGTGTAGACAATTCTGTAGGGTTTAGGGTTTTTTTCTAGGGTTTAGGGCTTGGGGTAAATGATGTGTATATGAAGACGCATGGGACGGAAGGTTTCGTGGCTTTGACGTCTTCCAGGAGTTAGTCCTCCAGAGTGTGCCTTATGTTGCTTTATAATGACCACCGCCTAACGCATTGCAAATCCACCCTAGAGAGAGAAATAGTCATCTCGCTGCCTCTTACCTTTCCATACTAATGGGCTCCCCTGAACCACTGAAACATGAATCCAATATTGTTTAAGACAACAACACTGTTTCGAAACAGAGCTTGTGTTTCATCGTGCTCGGCCCTTAGACCTTGAAACTTAAACCACTAAACCATTAGACAGAAAAATCAATAAGCCAATAGGTTTCCCCCCTATGGAAAGCTTTTCAACTTTCAACTATCAAACCACTAAGCCAACGGATTCCATCCATGTGGACACCCATGAAACCATTCAACCAATCCTCCTCCTACACGGGCCCAAAACCTGTGTTTTAAGGGCTCACTGGGTCGGAGGCTCTGCTCCGAAACAGTACTGTTTTTTTTTTGGAGCAGGTGCGGATCTATGGTGCAAGGTAGTGTAATACCCAATTTATGTGCAGGCAATATCTCGCAGCCCGTTCTAAGACACGTTTTTCGATTTTAGCAGCGGAAGAATTTCGTCATATGCCGGCCGCGTTCAGGTGGAGGAGCCTCCTGACAAGAAGAAGGTCAAGAAGAGACAGGTTTATCGACATCCCCGCGAGTACTTAGAGTCGCAAGCGGCCTCGACGTGTCTCGAACAAAGACTGATGGCCAGAGTTAGGATAATACAGAGCGGCTAACGATTCGGCTATAATGTATTTACGCATATAGCTTCTATAGTGCAAATTTATTTAGCTTGATGTACCCCTTAGGTAAAATTAAAATGTGCAGCCATTTCTAGCTCAGGTCTTTGTTGCAGGTTGTAGTCGTGGAGGTATGAATATATGGCACAGTCTTACATAAACTTTGAGGCTTCAGGATTGGGGTTTCGGGTTTTGAAAGCTCAGAAGTCTCACTTGTTTTTGTTTTTTGGGTCCTTTGTGTTCCAAGCTTCGGGGTTGCAACTTGAGTGGGTTCATGGTTGGTTCTCAGATGGCAGAGACGTAGGTAGGGTTTAGGGTTTAAGGTTTAGGGCATAAGTAGGTTTAGAGGACTTAATGCACGAACCAAGCTGCACAGAAGGTGGTGTGTCTCATCGGAAGTTGGTAAAAATCTTTCCAAATCAAAAGGACAGCAAACATATATGATCTCAACACCCTATGTAGGCCCTAAAGCGTGTGAAAGAGTTGGGGCAGAACACCCGCATTGATGCGGAGCACCGCCGGAGCTTAGCCAGCCTTGAGAGATTTCGCTTCCAAAACCTTGAGGATTTAGGGTTTTTCCTCAGAGGGTGCCCCCCCCCCCCTTACACCCTAAACCCTAAATAGGAGCCCTGAAGAGTTGTGTGCTTTGCGTCCTCGGAAGCTGCAAGGAGGGCTCCCTAACCAACTTCTGGAAGCACCACATGGTCAAACCTCCCAAATGGGTTATCCCCCCATAATGGAGAATCGAATGGAAAAGAAAATGGGAAATTGAATGGAAACTGGGGGAATTTGGGGAGTTAAGGAATTTAATTCAAGTTCCTAAAACCACTAATTATCACCCGCCCCTCCGTTTGAGACACTTTCGGTCGGTGGAGGCCAGCCCATATACCCTAAAAGTTTGGGACCAGGCAAACCTACACCGAAGGATTCTCAAACAATTTCCGGCAGTGGAGTCTTACAACCTCATTGGGGCTATGCAGTTCTAGGATTTCGCAGTCTATCATCACCATTCCGGTATGATCCTCAAGGGGACGCGCGTAGTCATGTATCATCCCTACATATTCCTTGGGTCACCCTGTACTGAGAAGCCCCCACTAGAGCATTTCGATGAGGCGGAAGTTTTCAATGTCAACTTGATATCAAAACCTACACTCTGAGCAGGAAGCGCGCCAATCTGATCCCTACAAAGCCTTCAACCAACTCAGAGCACAACACCTGTAGATGAAGTGTAATCACCTGGATAATACGCACGTACACAGAGAGACATGCATGGATCTGTCAAGCTTTTTTCTTCTTGAACTTTGTACCCTGAACCCCTAAAGCCTGAACTTTTCCCTCAGACTCCGACTCAGGCTGAAAGAGATGTTCCCTGATCGTGTGTCATCTTCAACACATCCCAAAGCCTACGAGAAGTATGTGGAGGGTTGGGGCATCGTCATGCACCTTGGAAGCAGCAGAACTTCGTTGTGGGGACCAGGCTTGGGGCAAAATCGCCGACCCACAATCTTTCAGAAGGATACACCCACTGTCCATTTGGAATCGTAGCACATTCTGCCGCATGTAGAGGCTCTGCAGGTCCGAGTGCGATGTTTCTCTGGCTTATGGTTTCGAGGCTATAACAACGTATATAGATTCAGAGTCCTCTTTTTTCCGCGATTGTTCGTTGTTTGGGTTGGTGCCTGGGGGGATGTGTTGAAGGGTCTCCCTCCGGTTTTACTTCGTGCCACTTGCTTAAATTACCTTATTAGACGGATGGACGCATCACTGGCTACAGCTTTGGAGTCTTCAAAAAGTTTTCCCTAGCTTCGGCTCTAGAACTTCCTAGGTCATGAGAACGTTCCGGGGCCACACTCAAGTAACAGCTGCACAGGCATTAGAGCTCGGAGGAGGCTTCTATTGTCATATGAAGGTTTCCCAGAATTAGGGGTACCATTTTGGGGTCCCTATAATAAGGACTATAGTATTTTAGGGTCTATATTGGGGTCCCCTTATTTCTAGCTCCCCCACAGATGAGGTGTTTGATCAATCCTGGCCATGCCAGGCCATTTGGAACCGTCGTAGTTTAAGACTCTGAGACGTCAACTTGTGCCACCCTAGGTTACCTAAACAGTCTCAGACCAGCAACGCTAGTAGCAGCTTGCATTGCATTGCAAGGATGACGTTAGCAATAAAAATAAGACAGAAGCAAACCCAAACGCCAATGGGGTAGGGTACAACCCCTCAGCCATTTTTGAAAAGCACTCTAGATGCACAAATCAGGTACCACCCGCCTGGCTGGTCACTGAAGTTCAAGAAGCACCTCCGTTACTGGAGCTGATTTCTCACAGTTTTCACCGTTTTTGGATACAGAGACGCCTTCTATGGGGTTGTGTCCACACAATTTGAGATCTACAGAGTATACCCAGAGGTACTATACTCCTGAGACACAGGGACACCATTTTTGGAAGCCCATGTTTGGGAGACTACCCTTAGGCAAGAAGAAATGCGTACCACACCACTCAGGATACATCAGTGCAGATGACGTCGAAGGTGCTTATGCGGAGTCGTTGCTGGGCTTCATAAGTTTGTCAACACTTGTGGACTTCAAGAAGCTGGAAGAGACCTTCGGTAAGTGTCGGAACCAGAATTCTCAAGAGTTGTTTGGACCTTGGAGATCGGTAATTGCGGGCTTTGGGTCAGTAGATTTGTGAAGTGTTTTGCACCGGGATAGAGCTGAATAGATGAATAGATTGTATTTGAGCCCACAAACGAAAGCATGTGCAGAATTTTGCGGTTCAAGTTTTCTCTAAACCCCAAACCCTTAACCCCTAAAGGGAAAACGGTCAACAGCTTCAACATATCAGAAATCTCTGCAGGTAACCTCTGGCTTAAGGTTCCTGTACAGAGTGTTTCCAAGAATTTAGGGTTTCTATTTAAAGGTCACCCATGTTTTTTTGGGAACTGCGAGCGTGATGACCTTGCAGAAACCAAAGGCGACGCCCTCCACCTCAAAGATCGATGAATCCGTAGTCCTCAGGAAGTTTAGTGTTTTTTCGTGGGCTGCGGTGCCCCTCAAGTTTAGACCTTACTGTACCGAGACTGGACATGTTTTACAGTCAGTGTGTGTGACCTCTTGTACCCTCCCTCAGAGGGCACATAGACCGTAGATATGCCTCTAGCTGGAAGCGCCTAGACCCCTACGCATTGGAGATCCGTAAATTTCACACTCCAGACCTGCTCCATGTACGTCCTATAGATATACATGCGTATGCATAGTTGCTCTCTTTATGAACACCCAAATATGATACAATTGCAAATATTTATATTTACATCCCAGCCATGATTTTTGGTATCATTTTTACTGTCCACTACCCGCGAAGGTTGGGATTGCCAGCCGGCACTGTCACGCAAAACACCGTCGTGAATGGTAGTGTGGCCATTTGACTGGATTTAGATTCTCGGTAGGGATCCTTTTGTGAGTGCTGGTGTGTACTGGTTCCCATATGGCGCGGGGAGCTTACGGGCAGGGATAGTATGGAGGTTATTCAGGGGCCGGAAGGAGAACAGAAGGTTCACAAAACCCCAAACCCTAATTAGTTAAGAACCCTGCTATGCTATGCTGTCCGGGCCATGCAAGCAGCAAACCCTAGTTAAAACCGGTTGCCAGCAGAGTTTGCAAGGGTTGACCAGGGGGGTCCTCAGACTAAGGGATGCAGAAAGGGAGCCGAAGCTTGAGGAATGGAGCAAAGCTACCAACCCCCGGGTTCTTATATGAGGACAATATAGGGATTATATAAGTGATCATATAGGGCTTATATAGGGATTACATAGGGATATATAGGGATTATATATACAGATTATAGGGGTTGGGTTTTGGGATTAGGGCTTAGGGTTGTCAAACTCACGGTTTTTTTTTGGGGGGGCGGTGCTTGTACTAGGGGCTATGGTGCAACAGGGACCCCCAAAGAGGCTAGATTTTATTGACATCCTACTGATATAGGTGTATGCTGCATAGGGTTTAGAGGCTTTGAGGTGGATATCCTCAAGCTCAGAGCCCCCTTTCCAAATTGAAGTCGTTATTATTGCTGCCATTTGAGCCATAACCTATACTCCTGAGAGGGGGTTTATTTAAGGGATTATATAGGGTAATATGGGAGTTATGAAGGGGGATACTAGGAGTTTGGACTATGGCTCATATGGTATTTTCCATTTTCTTTTTCCACTTCCTCAAGCCAAAACCCTAAACCTGAACCCAACATATATTGGAGTCGAAATTGGGCCACCCCATCCCCCATTTCCAGAAGGGCTGAGGGTTTATCATTAGGGCTTGGTGATTAGTAGCTTTACTTGCTGGGTAGCGCATACAGTTTTTCTTAACAGAATACACCATGCTTGAAGCCTACAAACTTCAAGTCGGCAGCAACAAAGGTTTGTCGAAGGTATGTGTTTGTTTCGGGGTCCTAGCGAAAGGGTCTGTCCTCAATCTGATGAACGACAAGAATGGCTCCCAGTTTTGGTGCGTGCTGCCTGCCAAAGCCTTTACCACCAGCATGTCAGCTGTTGCTGAGGTGGATTTGCGCAAGAAGCCCAGGCCGCACGACAAACATAGCGCAAGAGCGCAACTCGCTTCTGCCCATACAGTTCGGGATGTTCACAAGACATATTTTGTTCCAATCACTCTGGGTTCGTTGTTTTCTCTTCGGCACTTGAGATAATGGACTGGAAGGGGCATTTGTTGTGGACTGCTCAACCGGGGTTGCACCTCAATACTCTTTTTGGGCGTTCAGAAACTAGTTGAGGGTTTGGAGTACGGGGTTTGGCGGTGTACGGGGAAGTACGAGAAATAGGGGAAAATAACATGAAATTGCTGTCTCACAGTACTTGGACACCCTTCGCCAAGCATGCACCTTTGTCGTTTGGTAATCCTGACTGACTGTATTGCTTGCTTGTTTGCAAAGCTAGGCGTGTGAAGCTTCAGCATCACTTTGGGGTGCAGAGGGTGCAGGTTCCACATAATGGTGGAATGTTTCGAGGGGGCAGGGCAGAGGCGGGGGCATCTGAGGCATGTATGAGGATTCAGGGCATAACTTGGTAGTGAGCATCTTTCGGAGCCTACATTACTGTCTACGCGGCTCTGAAAGTTACATTTTGGAACTGCATTCTCCACCTTGGCGCATGCAGCAGAGCCCCTGTCCGACGTTGTTCATCTCATGGTGTGTCTCAGGCGGACCCCGCATCCAGTAATAGCGAGTAAAATAAGGGATAATATGGATTAAATTAGGGTCCTCAAATCCCTTTTATATGGTAGTTTCCCACAATGAGGGGAACCCAATATAGACACTACTATACTATAATCCTTATTATGGGAAACCCCAAAGAAGGTACCCCTAATTTTTGGGAAACCCCCATACACCACTATTACAGAACCGGGGGGTCCACCTCAGGTATGTCATAGTGGGGCTCCTCACCCTTCCCCGGCGCCTGGAAGATTCTAACAGAATAGCATCCTTAAGACCCCGCACGGGTGTGGTGCTTTTTGTGGGAACCCATTAAGTAGTTGTTCAAAATAACTGTCCCCAAAATGGCCATAATGCAGGTTCCCTGTTTGGGTTAGGATCCCCTTTTTAAGGAAGTGTATTCCTAATGGTCGCTCCTTTACAAGGACCTTTAGAACACTCCCTGTATTAGGGTTTAGGGTCTAGGAATGCTCCGGGACATTTTGCCTTGCCGTGAGAGCTATGGGGCAAGGCCTCTCCGGAGTGCAAACGCGGTTTAGGGTTTAGGGTTTAGGGTTTAACTGTTTCCTACTTCTTTCATTGTTGGTCCAGTCCCCACATCATTAAAAGATAAAGCCCGCAAGGTATATGAGCCATAGTCTAAACTCCTAGTATCCCCCTTAATAACCCTTATAGTAGTCCCCTATCTAATCCCTATATAACCCCCTTTAAGGAGTTTAGACTAGAGCTCATATAATCCATGCTTTCACTGATTAGGTAAGCTGGTCGTCTGTGGTACGTAGGCATGGATGGCCACTTTTCAAAACCCTGACTCGCCTCCCCCACCATAACTCCAAAGCCCCAGGCCTGACTAAACTGGGTTGCTGTTAAGGAACTTAAATTAAGTTACCATAATGGGTATATCTAGTACATAATAGGGTTTCCCCAATATAGTAACTTAAATTAAGTTCCTCAACAGCAACCCACTAAACAGATGGGGTCCCTGTAGGGTAGTGGGTTTTTGGCCATAATGGCGGTTCAGAGCGAACCTAGACTTTTTAACCATCATTCCTGGAGTCTTTAAATCCCCAAAGCTGAGGAAGCGCATGCTCGTCAAAGCACGTCAGGACAGGCTGGCGAAGATTGCCAAGGCGCATGAGCTGAAAATGATTAAGAGTTGCTAAGACCTACCTGGGTTGAAGTATCGAACGCCCAGGGTTTCAAGATTAAGGCGTACAGGACTTGGGTTTGCGGCTAGGACAGTTGGGGCAGGAGGCAGGGAGCAGCATGGATCCTGACGACTCTACAGCCTCTGAGCCACAGCTGTGTATATTTAAAGTATAAAGAAATTTCATCAAACAAACGATGGGTAGCTGCGTTCGATTCAACCAATACGGCATCTACCGGTTCGGCTAAACTCTAAACCCTAAGACGCTCGGTTTAGCGTTAAGAGGTGGGTTTGGGGAGAGGGGTCAGGGTGAAGCAATACCCTTCTGGAACGGTCCCAAGAACACATGCCTTCAGCCCACAGTCCGCCATGAGGGATGGCACTGTAGAACACTGAATTTTTTCCAGCCTTACTTTTTGATAAGACTTACATAATTACAGTAAGCTATACCCTGAAACCTTATTTGGAGAACTGCCACTGTATAGCAAATCCTACCAACCCCAATAGGTCCAAGTTTGCATTTCATCCTCCATGCTGTTTCCACAGTATTCTGAGTCCTTAGGCATAGACTCGGAGCTCCTACATTTTCAAGAACGTAATCTTACATGGTTAACCGACAACAAATCACAACACTGGTACTGGTGGTGTGTAGGAAGGGATAGACCCCAGGTGTGTCAGGTGCTGTCCCATGGTCTCCTGTAGCTATTGAACCCTCAACCCCAAAGTACCTAAAGCCCATCCCCGAAATCCTAAACCCGAAAGCCTAGAAATCCCGGCCATCCAAAATGTGTGGTCGTAAGGAAGGATCTGAAAGGCACTCAGGCCTCCAGCTGCTTAGGCTCCAGCTTTTTTATAGGGAAGCCCGGCAACTGTTTTTTGGGCTTAGGGGGTGCTTTAGGGTTTTGCATGTTTATATGTCTTATCCTTTTATGACCACATAAGCTGCTGTATAGATCGGAAGTACATGATGTGAATGTTAGGGAACGAGGCAGTCCGCCTCTAAAACGCAAAACCCCTAAACCCACATCATTGAAAGGGCCTTGGAAGTCCAAATTCAGGCACTGTGCCTGCAGCTGCCCCTGGTCGGAGGTTCAGGGTAGTCAGGACACAGTTGTAATTGACACCTGCTGCAGAGCCCCACTAAAACCATGGCTGGAGATTAGGGGGCTCATATTTTGGTTGTAAGGCATATATCTAGCCTGAACCTGCAAGCATACGCCGAAAAGGTGGACGCATCATCTTAACAAACTTTTCTAGCAGCTCCCACATCAAAGCCTGAAACTGCAAGTATACCCCGAAAACGTGGACGCATCGTTTTAACAAACTTGTCCAGCAGCTCCCACACAAAGCCCTTCGACGAAGGAAGATCCCGAAAGGGCACGCCACCTCAACGAGATATATCTTACCCGGATCAATCACCTGCAAAAGGCGAAGAAGGAACTCAAGGCCATATGTAGCTTCGTGTTTAGAGGGTTTTCGGTTGTGCGGTTTGGGCTCTAGGTGCCGGAGGCAAGAGGGTTTAGGTGCACTCAATGTTGAACTATCTACCTGCTGCCCCGATGAACCCACCCACACACCTCGCATCGCATTTGTTTTTGCTGCGCCGGAGCGTAAACGCGCAATCCTGCATACTTGGCCGACCTCTCCGGATGTGGCCTGCGTGGGACGAGCCACACATTCGAGATGTTTCAAGGGCCCGAAATACTGCGTATACCACGCATTGCATTTTACGATGTGCGACTGCACTCGATAACCAGAGCATCCATGCGCAAACCATAATTCCGTTCGTGTTCCCAGAGCATACGATAACCAGAGCATCCATGCCCAAACCATCATAACCTTCGTGTTTCGAGAGCATACGATAACCAGAGCATCCAGGCCCAAAACATAACAACGTTCTTGTTTCAAGAGCATACGCTAACCAGAGCATCCATGCCCAAATCATAGTAACGTTCGTGTTTCGAGAGCATNNGAGCATACGCTGACCAGAGCAACCATGTCCCAACCATAATAACGTTCTTGTTTCAAGAGCATACGATAACCAGAGCATC